AATCTTTTGCAATGACTTATCAGACAAGGGACTAATTTCTTAAAATATATAGGAAACTACAACATCTCTACAAGAAAAAGACAAGTAACCCAATTAAAAACTGGACACAGGACATGAACAGACACTTCACCAAAGAAGACATTTGGGCAGCCAACAAATATATGAAGAAATGTTCACGATTACAAGTCATTAGAGAGATGCAAATCAAAACAACAATGAGATATCATCGCACACCAACAATAACAGCAAAGATCAAAAAAGTAAAGGACAGTAAATGCTATTGAGGATGTGGAGAGACTGAGACCCTCCTACATTGCTGGTGGGAATGCAAAATGGTCCAGCCACTCTGGAAAACAGTATGGTGCTTCCTCAAAAAGATGGAAATAGAAATACCATATGATCCAGCAATTCCTCCACTTGGTATATATTCACAAGAAATACGAGCCGTAACACAAGTAGATATATGCACACCAGTGTTCATAGCAGCACTATTCACAATAGCAAAAAGATGGAGACAGCCTAAGTGCCCATCAATAGAAGAATGGATAAACAAATTTTGATACATACACACAATGGAATATTATGCTACCTTGAAGAATAACAAGGAAGCTGCAAGTTGTGGTGCGTGCATAACATGGATGAACCTTGAGGACATTATGCTGAGTGAAATTAGGCACAAAAGGGCAAATATTGCATAAGACCATTATTGTAAAAGCTAAAGAAAAGATTGTTGTTGTTGTTATGTGCCATCGAGTTGGTTCCGACCCATAGCGACCCTGTATAGGGTTTCCGAGGGTGTAAATCTTTACGGGAGTAGAAAGCCTCATCTTTCTCCCGTGGAGCACCTGGTAGTTTCGAACCGCTGACCTTAAGGTTTGCAGCCCGATTCGTAACCACTACGCTACCAGAGCTCCTTAAAGAAAAGATACCCATACTAAAATGAAAAAACAAAAACAAAAAATTACTTTGCGGGGGAGGGGGTTGGGAGAGGTGGAGGGAGGTGACAACAGAGCACAGGGTAGGGGCAGATGCATCATAGTTCGGGTATTGGGGAGGGCAATAACAAGGTAGATAGGGGAACACTGAGGCAGGTTTGCATAGGCTAAATCGGACAGAGGTAAATAGTGATGCATGCTCAACCTTGGAACAGCAGGGCTTTGTGATACAGGTACCAAGGCATAGTCTGAAGAGGGTAAATAGTACTAAGACGCTTGACTGTCTTATGTATATTGGTTTCCCTTTCCTACTATTGTAAAATGGACACTTGAGTTGGATAGAAAGGAATGTCGGGACGCATGATTACAGAACGCTTATAAGCCTATAACTGATTGGAATACCTCAAGGGGGTTCTAACTTGCCCGGTGAAATAGGTCTCTTGCGGAGCCTTTGCAGTGTATAGGACCTTAGGTGGGATCCTGAGCCCCATCCAGAACCTTCTGAGGTGGGACATTCCTACTAGAAAGGACAAGCAGACCAGCCTGGAACAGCTAGAGTGACAGAAGATTACATCTTCAAAGAAAGATAATCAGGAAAACCCCAAAACAAAAATGGCAGTATGACTGGCTACTACAAGAATAAGCAAGTTGTTCACCAGGAAGCCATCAAGGCAAGCAATCAAGTTCCTCAGGACAATCACCCCTCTAAGACTGAAACTCAAAGGGAACACATGAGCAGGCATGTAAGCTTGCTGATGACTACATTGGTCTAATGGTGAGTGAAAGAGGGGGAAAGGCAGCAATGAAGAAATAGGCTGAGTTCAACAACATTCCATAGATTTCCGTTGACCTGGAGATATGAGAGAGAAGAGAAAGGGCTGGTTGGTCCAAAGTGTGGTGAGACCTGGGGATACCTGAGCCCTATGGTCAAAGACAGCCTCAGAGGGCTAGAGCTGAGAGTGAAGCATCCAGCTGATACGGAGTGAGAGGAGGTGCACAAGAACACTCAAAGTTGCAGATAGTACCCATTTGACATAGCCTTGATAATCAGAGCTCAACTAGAGGAGGATTAAAAATAAAAAAGAATAAAACAATTTGTGATAAAGGAAACAGGTAAATTGCTACAATTTGATGAACTTGACTCTTGGAGGTTGTTGTTGTTAAGTGCCGTCGAGTCGGTTCCGACCCATAGCGACCCTGTACAGGGTTTGCGAGGGTGTAAATCTTTACGGGAGTAGAAAGCCTCATCTTTCTCCCGCGGAGCAGCTGGTAGTTTCGAACCGCTGACCTTAAGGTTCGCAGCCCGATTCGTAACCACTACGCTGAACTTGACTCTTGGAGGTAGTAACTCTAAATACCAACAGAGAGTGAAGGAGTCTTCACATTAAATATCAGTGCTATCCCCTCTGTACACAGGGCAGATAGGGATGGGCAACTTAGACATTGGCTACCTAAAATGAGGGGACGATAAAAGCACGAAGTGACTGGTTAACAAGGTTTCAAGGGGGAGTGTAGTTTAATAGTGTGTGGGGAAGAAAGAGTCCCCACTGAATAGTTTTCATCCTGTCTAGATGGATCTGGTTAAAAGAGATGGGAATAAGGTTCTTATGATTCAGTAGTGAGTAATTGTTACCATGACTAATTGCGACTCTCAGAATTTTAAAAGTATAAGCTTTGTAACAAAAACAGGGGAGTAGTTAATCTTACAGTCCAGAAATAAAGGACCCTAGGATCATCAAGGGAGAATAGACCTTATGAACGTGAGACCTTATCCAGAGAAGCATTGACACCAGAGATAGAGACAGAGATGGGGACTTGGAGGGAGGGAGCAGCTGAGGACTCTAGATTCATGGAAAGAGAGAGACTAAGAGATGGCGACTAGGAGGCAGACTTGCAGAATGGGCCCTTTGGTGGTGTAAATTATTATATATGCCTGAGTGTTTAAAAAAAAAACCACTAAAGTGAATAGAAACACACTGTTAGCTGATGATACAAGGAGGGGATATTTCAATAATGAAACAATGATGATCTGCCCTGTCAACTTTTACTCAATCCATAATAAAAACCTTATAATAATAATAATAAAATGGAAAGTATTCATCAGATTGCAGTAAACTATGAGCTTTTGAAAAAAATGAAGTTGCTGTAACACTGAAAAGGTATTTATTCCTCTGAACACTTCTAGCAGCTAGTTTAGGCACAGGGGCTACCACTGAAGACTTGTGGGTATCCTAGGTGCCAATCTACTTGTACTCCTGCTTCTTGTTTCACCCTGGAGCATATGTTATACATTGTTGTTGTTGTTATATGCCATGGAGTCGGTTCCGACTCATAACGACCCTGTACAGGGTTTCTGAGGCTGTAAATCTTTACGGGAGCAGAAAGCCTCATCTTTCTCCCGCAGAACCGCTGGTAGTTTCAAACTGCTGACTGTGAGATTAGCAGCCCGATTCATAACCTCTACGCTACCAGATATATATATGTTGACATAATTATTCATTCATCCTCTGTGCAATGCAATTCAACAAATATTACTGAGAACTTACAGTGAGCTAAGCATTGTTCTAGGTGTTGAGGATATAGTAATGAACAAAGCAAACAAAATTCCTTTACCAAAATGTCTATGTTTATTTAATATATAACTAAATGGCATTATTTAACATGACTGAAATAAATTATGCCATTATGAAGAAGTATCATTTTAGGAGAGTTGTACAGGATCAGCCTGAATATCCCAAAGATCTTGGAATCAGAAAATACAGTTTAGCATGCCAAACCGTGATTCCCTTTGCAAAATGGTAACATGAGGGATTATATGTATTACTAAGTGTGCAGTCCATAGGTGTTCAGAGAAACATTTTTTAGAGGCTGAATGAATGGATTAAACCAGTGGGAGGAGCACTTTGCTCAAAAAAACAGGACTTTGACAGAATTCAAATGTGTTCCTTGATTTTGAGAATGAGTTTCTAGAGAGAAGCATTATTTGAAACAAAATTTTCTTTGACTCTGTGTTGTTTTATTGTGGTAAGAGTTATATATTAAATATGTGTGGTGGTGGTGGTTATGTGCTGTAGAGTCAGTTCCAGCTCATAGAGACCCTGTACAGGTTTTCTGAACCTATTAATCTTTATGGGAGCCGAAAGCCTCATTGTTCTCCTGCAGAACAGCTGGTAGTTTCAAACTGCCGACCTTGAGGTTAGCAACCCGATTTGTAACAACTATACTACAAGAGATCCTTAGGTATGTATGTATATACTTATATAGATATAATAACTAGCTCCACATTTTTTAGTATTTAATTTTCAGTGACACAAATTAAGTCCATCATATTGTGTAACCATCACCTCCCTTAGTTTTCATGTTTGACTCTGTGCTTATTGCGCTATGTATTTAATTCCATATACATATATACAGATCATTTGGATCTTTGAAGTTTCTAGTACTTTATTTCACCTATTTAATCAAAGAATTCATTTGAGCTGAATTCATGTTTTAGGATTCTGGATACTACTTTACAAATAACTATACATTTCTGTTCTCTAGTCACTTTAAATGGGTTAATAGAGCTTTCCGACATGTCTAATTTACTTGTGTGATATACTTGATGTTCTAAATGTTTTTGATTCAGTTTGCCATAATACGGAAATTTTGAATCTACCTTTATGTGAATTTAGTTACTAAATTCTCTAAAACTTTTAGCATGTTTGTTTTGAAAGTAATTTTGTAAGAAGGAAACTGGCCATTTTCCGCCATGATCTACCTTCTGGGATTCTGAGTGTGTGCAAAAATATTGGTGCAACTGTAAAGACACCCAGTGAAAGAAGAACACATTTGATATAGATTTAAGTATCACGAAAACATGTGAAAGAAACCAAGGATCAGCTTTTGCTTCTGGCTTGTGTTACTGTTTGTTACTTAAGTAGCTTAGAAAAGAAGTAAATCGTGTATGAGAGAGCAAAAAAAGAAAGACATTCTGGAAGTAATTATTAATGCTGAAATTTCTGCATCTAATTTTGGAGTGCTTGTGTTTGGAATTCCACATGTGCGATGAAATGTATGTTTCAGGTTTGTGGAGAAAAACAGCGCTTTGAGAAGCTGATGGAACATTTCAGGAATGAAGACAATAACATAGATTTTATGGTGAGTTGTTTCAGCATTACGTTCAATTTAGCAAGCTCAGCAGTTTTCCTAACCCCCTCTAGGTGTCTGTGTGTGTACGCAAAGGACAGGAAATTGAAAATTATATGCAATAGATCCAATCTAGAGTGTCCTCCTTAATCTGTTTTTCCCTCATGGCACTTATTTTCATTTTTATATCCTACTTATGAAGGGGCTTCAAAAAGTTTGTGGAAAAATTCCGTTTTCTTCTCATTCTATTTTTCCATGAACTTTTTGAAATTTCCTTGTACGTAGTTTAAAGACAGAAGTACTGATGATTTATCGCGAATAAAGGAGAGGATCCATGCAGTTGGAAAAAGAAATTAACAGGTAAACATTTCTGGTGCAAATGCCCTCAGTTATCTAGCTGACAATGGTGCAGCGTAGGAAACCTTAAGGTAGAAACCAAGAGCTTTAATCATTTCACCTCTGAAAGGTCCCAGCAGCCAGTGACCTTTGCTGGGCTATTTTCTCTTACACTGGAGTGCTTTACTCTGTAGAACTGTTGTTAGTATGTGTATCAAAACTTAAGGCGCTCTTAGAATGCAATGGTTAAGTGCTCAGCTGCTAATCGAAAGACTGGTAGTCTGAATCACCTAGCAATTCCTGGCAAGAGAAAAGACCAGGCCATCTGCTCCCATCAAGATTCCAAACACCAAAGCCATTGTCGTTGAATTGATTCCAATTCTTAGTGACCCTGTAGGACAAGGTAGAGCTTCCCCTGCTCGGTTTCCAAGACTGTAAATCTTTTACAGAAACTGATTTTCACATCTTTCTCCCACAGCTGAGTACTTAGCCAATGTGCCACAAGGGCTCTTCCCAGAAAGGTTGTTGTTAGGTGCTGTCCAGTCGGTTCCAACTCATAGCAACTCTGTATGGGGTTTCTAAGGAGCAGCTGGTGAGTTTGAACCGCCGACCTTGCAGTTCAAACCAACCTTGAGTTCAAGTGCATATGCTGTGGTGCTACAGGCTAGAAAACCCGATGGGACAGTTGTTCTCTGTCATATAGGGTTGCTAAGCACACAACAGAAACATTCCAAAAGTGAGTATACAGCAATAATTTCCCCCCTTGATCTGTTTTCCACTTTAGTAATTTGGTGAGGGCATAGTCATACTGCAAATCTCTTTAACAGGTTAGATCTCATGTAAGAATGTGTGGTTTAGCAGCAGTATTGTCATCCTTACGTAAAAAGAAAAAGAGGACAACTAAGTGAGTTTGAGGACTTCTGAATTCATATCCCTAAATCTTAATTGTGGCCTAAAGAAACTCTAGAGAATTTCCTGACAAAATCAGGAAATGGAGTGCATTCATATCTGTAGGCTTTCCTTGAGTTAATGCAGTTTCCCTTTAGGGACCCCTGGTGCTGCTGTGGGTTAAGCCTTCAGCTGCTAACTGCAAGGTCAACAGTTCTAACCCACAAGGCACGTCACAGGAGAAAGTTGAGACTGTCTGCTCCTGTAAAGAGTTTTACAGTCTCAGAAAACCTAAGGAGCAGTTGTACCCTGTCCTGTAGGATCACGATGAGTTGGATTCAACTTGATGGCAGTGAGATTTGGGGGTTTTAGGCCCCTGTTTCTGCAGAGTTTCAGCTTTAAGAGCCAAGTAGCTCTTGGCCAACAGGATATGAAGATACACTCTTGAGTTTGCCACAACCCACACACTCTATTACCTATTACTGCGTAGGGCCTGCCTCTTTCACTTACGATACCAATCAGATCTCTTTAGGTAATTGAATTTCTGCTGAAATTATATTAAGCCCATAGCAACATCTGTATTTCCTATCAGTTTGATTCATATGTAAATACACTGAGGTGCCTTATTTAGAGGTAGCATAAATGGGTTACAAGTTGTAACCTTAAAGTCAGCTGTTTGAAACTAGCAGCCATTGTGTGGGAGAAAGAAGAGACTTTCTGCTCCCATAAAGATTTCCAGCCTCGAAATCCTATGCAGGGTCGCTGTGAGTCAGAATCGACTCAGCGATACAAAATCACCACCACTTGGCATTGTGGGTTAATGCGCCAGACTGCAAAGCCATTCGAACTGCAAGGTCAGTGGTTCAAGCTCACCAGCTGCTCCTCGGAAACTCTATACAGGGTCGCTATGGGTCGGAACCGACTCGACGGCACTTAACAACAACACCACGACCCAGGCACTGTGTGTTACATCTACATGTCACCTAGCAAATAGTGCATATTATAAAGCTCAACAGATCATTTAGACCTACTTTCTCAAGAGAAATGGCAAGATGTCAAAATCTGATCATGTTTTCCTCCAGAACATGAGACTTTTCATAACTGCCTTGGGGATACAGTTAGGTTGCTCAACCTCTCAAACAACATAGTCTTCGTAATATATAATAAAAACTCCTTTTATGTATTTTTTTTCTTTTCTCTGTATTTTTTGTGAACCAAAGTAAAAAACCTGTTAACATTGTTTTTAGTTTATTGTATCATAGAACCTGAAGTGATTCTTTTTTTTTTCCCCAGTAAATTACAGTGCAGTACTCTAGTAATCTAGATAATTTAAACATCTTCTAAATATGTGTAAAACTAAATGCCACTACCATCAAGTTGATTTGGACTCATAGCTACCCTATATAGAATTTCCAAGACTGTAAATTTTTACCAGAGCAGACAGCTTCATCTTTCTTCCACAGAGCTACTGGTGGATTTGAATCAACAACCTTGCAGTGAGCAGTCCAGTGCTTAACCCACAGCATATGATATAGTCAAAGATCTAACTTGATAAAGACTAAAAAAAAATAAAGGAAACAGGGATTAGGTGAGAGAGGACGAATAAGGATAAACCACATTTTGTTGATCAATTCAAACGGATATTGACATCTGGGTTGTTCTTACGCTGTTGTGAGCATATTTGTATACAACTTTTGAATGAACATCTAGTTTCCATTTTCATGGATACAGACATAGAGGTGGAATTGCTGGATTTCATGGTAACTCTAAGCCTCGCTGATTTCATTAGCAGCTGCACCACTCTGCATGCCTAGCAACAATGTATGAGGGCTTCCATTTCTCTGCACCCTCCTCCCCCAGCACTTTTTATGATCTGTTTTTTCGATAATAACCGTTCTGCTGCTGTGTGCATTGAGTCCATTTTGGACTCATAGTGACCCTGTATAGGGTTTCCGAGGCTGTAAATCTTTCCTTATAACCATTCTAGTGGATGTGAGGATTCCTGGTGTGGCTCTGTAGTGTAAACACTGTACTGCAGACCACAAGGTCAGCAGTTCAAGCCCACCAACTGCTCCTCAGAAACCCTGTACAGTGTTGCTCTCAGGTGGAACTGACTCAACAGCACTTAACAACAGCAGCAGCAGCAGTGGATGTGAAGTGGTATCTCATTGTTGTACTTAGGTGACTTTTTAATTCATAGAAAAAAAATGTTTATTTAAAAACCTGATAAAATGAAGAGGGAAAACCATATTGGCAAATGGTCCTGCAGTTGTGAAATCAAAAGCACATGATTGATTAAAATGAGAAAAGAAGTTTGGAGCCTATCTAACCCCTTGACAATTTCATTTCAGGTGGCCTCTATGCAGTTTATTAATATTGTAGTCCATTCAGTAGAAGACATGAATTTCAGAGTTCACCTGCAATATGAATTTACCAAATTGGGCCTGGACGAATACTTGGATGTGAGTACAACTCTAATCTTTGGCTCAAATATAGAAACTGATTGTGTTTGTCCACTCTCAAAGGTATACTTCTACAGTAGTGAAAGCAGGCTTAAAATTCTATGCAATCAACCACTGTGTTGGTTAAAGGGAACCAAGCTCAGTGATGCAATCTGCCAAAGAAGCTGGATACTTGCAGACTTTCTGGGACTTCAGGCTGTCATCTGCCAGCAACTGCTTAGTCCGAAGTTAGATAACCTCTTGCAGGCTTGGCTACAATTTTTTTCTCTGCTTTTGAGGTCTGTCTGGGTCAAGTCTCATCACATTCTTCCTCCTGGCTATTGGGTAATTCACGTTCCTGGTCACTCTGGGGACTCCATCAAGGGAAAGTCAGACCAGGACAGCTGTGGAGTGATGAGTAAATGCTTAGAGCATAAAAAAATAATGAGGAAATGGGCATTAGGGAGTTCCTCATATAACTGTTAAATTCTACTTAAAGTGTTTGTGACTTTAGAAGTTCTACTTTCAGTTCTTTGGAGAAGGGTATCTAAGGTTTCTCTTATTCTTGCTCCGTTTCAGAAAGTGTTCAGCCAGTTCCCTAAAGCATTTCAGCTAAGAAACAGAAAGTTAATAAGGAAATCATAAAAGGGCCAGAGTAACTATGTGTACAAAAGTTGTGCCCTCATCCTTGGACTCAGGCAGTTTTCATTTTCATCTTTACATGGGAATGGATTAGATAAGTTTGGAAGATCACTAGTGGTAATGTAAGCATTATTTACTTCGGTTTCACGGTTATTTCTGGCTGGGAAGAACTTCCCTGAGATATCTCCAGAGTTCGACTGCTGTCTTCGTTAGGCATTTTGTTGCTGTCTTGTTGATTCTAACTTTTGGTGCCCAATGTGTTGCTTTCTATGGTGTTGCCAGATGGGTTCGAGCCACCAACCTTTTTGTTATCAGTCAAGTTAGACAGTTTGTGCCACCCAGGGACCTTTCATTAGGGATAAAGCCAGGGAATTACACAGACTGTGCCCTTGTTTATTGTGAGGCAGAAACACAGAGTTGGTTTCTCTGGAACTGACAGCCTTTCTTACAGATAGTTGGGCTGCCCTATGCAGGTTGAGCTTCCCTTAAAGAATTGTTTGAATGGTTTTTCTACCTGGAACCCCACTGAAATCATTGACAGACTATGTTATTGAGAGGTTGGTTATTTGGCTTTGAGGTCGAGGTTAGTATATCTTCGTTTCCTACATTCTTTGAGACTGGCAATATATGAACAAAAATTGGATGTGTAGATTCCTAATGACAATCTGGGTTCAATTTTATGATGACCAAAATTTAAAAGCTAGCTTGTAGGCCCTAGTTTACAGTGACAGTTATGAACACATCAGTCAATACTCATTATTCACTCTGAATCTTACAAAAAATCCAATAGTCTGTTCTCCATTTTCCTATCTAATCTTTGTCCTTATTCAGAAACATTTTTCAGTTCTGACTCCTAGACTAAGGTGGAACAGTCTCATCAGCAGGATTTCAAATTAATCTTAGTACGAATCGGGCTGCTAACCTCAGAGTCAGCAGTTCGAAACTACCAGCTGTTCCGTGGGAGAAAGAAAGATGAGGCTTTCTGCTCCCATAAAGATTTACAGCCTCAGAAACCCTGTACAGGGAGGCTGAGTTGGAACTGACTCCATGGCACATAACAACAACAACATCCTTGTAAATAAGCATTCACTTGTTCAGTATGTGTTTACTTTCATCATACATGTGCCAAATCATTTTCCCTTGATTCCCCGGAGCAAGTTCTGGCTTACATAGGGAAAATGCTGGAGAGTTTGCAACTTATACTCAAATAAGCCTGCAGGCTCTGTGTCTCTCCCACTTCCCCCTCATGCACATACACTACTATGATGGCTAAGATACTACCTACTTCATTCTTTTGTACTACACAGACTCCTCTCAAGTTTTTTTCTTTTTAAATCTCTTTTTTTGTAACTTTTTACTATGGACAGAGGGAAAGTTTGCAGAGAAGGTTATCAGTTTTACATCCAACCAACGAATCGTGCACTTGGTTTCATCTCAATGATTGCAGTCCCCTCCATGTAACAGCTGTTATCCCAACTCTTCCTTGGTGGTTCCAGTTTCCATCCACCGTCCTTCTCACCCCTCTGTACCTTGTCCCCAGGTAAAGGTTGCCCTTCTGATCTTGAATGGTTGACCATTCCATGGTGAGCATACCTCACTCGTGTTGTTGTCCCCCCTACTACCTACCCACCACTTGGTTGAAAATTGGGCCACAAGGATGAGTTAGTTCTGTTCCAGACCTGAAGGGTGATCAAGGGTCATAGCCGCAGATTCCTACTGTCTTTTTCTGTCCAGTTATTGTTGTTGTTGAGTGCCATCAAGTTTTATCTGTCGTTTCGAGACCCTTTATTGGGTTTCTGAGGCTTTCATCTTTGTGGAGTAGAAAGCCTCATCTTTCTGCTGTGGAGCAGTTAGTGCACTTGAACTGTCAGTGGCCTTGTAGTTTGAAGTCCAATGTTTATCCTACAGTAAGCCCAATCTTTTTTATAATTTTGAGTTTTGTTCCACATTTTCTCCCACTCTATCCGGGACCTTCAAATGTGATCCCTTTCAGAGCAGAGTCATGGAGACTGATGCTCACATGTTCTATTAGCCAATTGTTCTAATTGATTTCCAAGCATCTTCAGTTTTCATCACTTTTCTTTCTTCTGCACATGGAGAGACCAATAACTGTACTTCAGTCCCTAAAGGTTCATGTTGCCTGTGACTTGCTGTTCCATTTCCAAGCTGTTTTTAATTTTTCTATTATTTTCATTTTGTATACTTCAAAATGTTTTAGTTAATAATATGTCTGCACAGAGCAGGAAAGATTTGAAAGAAAATATTTGCATGTTAATGTTGTTGTTAAGTGCTGCTGAGTTGGTTTCAACTCATAGCGACTCTGTATAGGGTTTTCGAGGCACAGCTGGTGAGCTTGAACCGCCGACCTTGCAGTTCAAGGCGAACTTGTAGTCCAGAGTATTAACCTGCACCGCCACACCAGGACTCCATGTGCATATTAGGGAGGAGTTATTCCCCAGAAAGTAACCTAGTTGATTGTATTGTCTTAGGCAGTCATTTGGTAATTCTTTTAAGGAGGATGATAAATGATGAAGCCTCCTCTTTGAAGAGACTGGACTGTGTGAAATACTCATAGAGTATTGGGAGTTATATTTTGTTTCCACAGATAATGCTAACACTGCCTTCTATTGTATTTTGGTTTTTAGAAGCTGAAACACACAGAGAGTGACAAGCTGCAGGTACAGATTCAGGCTTACTTGGACAACGTGTTTGATGTAGGAGCTCTGTTGGAAGATGCTGAAACCAAGAATGCAGCCTTGGAGAGGGTAGAAGAACTGGAAGAAAACATTTCTCATGTAAGTGCATTTCAGAAAAGAAAAGTTGGTTAGGTTTCAACTAAATGTAAAGCTGAATTAATTTGATAACCTTATAGCAGGAATTAAAATGTTTAGAATATATGAATAGGCTGCAACTTGAGACAGTGGATTATCAGAAGCTATTGTAGGTTTTTTTTTACCCAGAAGGCAGTATGTGTGTGTGTGTGTGTGTGATACCTAAGACTTAGTGGACTCAGTTGCCTTGCCTCAGCTCATGTACCTGCTCAGTTGCACTGAGTTCAGCTTCTCTAGCTGTCTTAGTTACAAACACAAGAGTTAGATGATTGTCATAACCTAAAGATGTGGGAATTTGACCCTGAGTGGTGAAGAACCTTCTACCAAAGGTGTCCACATGAGCCCATGGACAGGATGATTTAGCATCTCCAGGATGCCTGTCTGCACATTACTCCCTTATGGCTCCTCACATTCTAACTAGATTAAAGTCAACAATAGGCAGTTTCAAGGAAACCAGTGAGCTTTTCCACATTCTTTCTTCTTAGAATTCCCTATACATTAGAATAGGGACTCTATTTTTTTTCCAAAGGATTTTTTAAAAAACTTTTTATTGTGAAGATTTACAGAGCAGATTTACATCCAACAATCGTAAACTTTGCTTCATTACAATGATTGCAATCCCATCCTTGTACCATCAGTTTACAGTATTTACCTCTATTCACTTTAACTTGAAGGTTCTTTTCTTGCTACAGATCACAGTTGAATATGATTCTAAGGAGTTGTTCAGTTACTCAGTCTTGAAGCACATATTTAAATATTGAACGAATGAACAGAAGAATAATGCTTCTCAAAAGCCCAAGTATTGTGTGAAGACTTAATTATCTTAATGACATTATGATTGACTGTTTTTCTTGATTGCGAAATGAGTTTTCATTCTTTTTTTAAAAAATATAATTGCCCCCTTTGAATAGTCCAGTTATTTTCCTTTGTTTTATTTGGGAAACATGTGCTTAATACCCTTTATCTTTCCCCATCGCTTGGGAAGTGGGCATCTACCTGGCTTGTTGGTGAGCCTTGACCCCCCTTTTGAAAGTGCTACAGAGACTTGGTTGACACCTTCTTAGGAGAATTACAGACCGAATATCCTTCCCTGAAAAGATGCGTGTTATATTCTACTCTTGCTCCTCCCCTTGTTTCATTGATTTTCTTACCTGTGATTATTTTCCGTGAAATCTGAAGCTGTTCAGTTTTAGATTATGCTAAAAGTTGCTATTTAACACACGTCTTTCACTTGAAGCCTCAGTCAGCACTGCAGGGCCATAGTTACATATGTGCTTTTGTAGCAGATCCCCTGTTTATTCGAACTACTAACATACCTTTTCTTATTTGGGTAGTTTAGGTCACAACAAATAATAGTTGTTGTTGTTGTTGTTGTTGTTGTTGTTGTTTTTCCCAAACTTGGTCTATAATGATAGTACTAAGTTTTCTCGATCAACTGTTCTCTAAAGTTGTTGGCTGATGGCCCTTTATTAATGGGGAATAAAGACGGAGTAGACAGCTTGCCCTCATCCCTCACCTTACTATTTTCTGTTCTAGAAAGACTAGTACAAGTTGCCATCCAGTTGATTCTGACTCTTTGGTAAGCCTGTGTATGTCAGAGTAGAACTGACTTCCATAGGGTTTTAATGGCTGATTTTCAGAAGCAGATCACCAGACCTTTCTTAGGCACCTCTGGGTGGACTGGAATCTCCAATAATTTGGTTATCAGCTAAGCACATTAACTATTTGCACCGCCTAAGGACTCCTACCCCTGCTAGCTATTTCAGACATGGAGGGAGACATACTGTGTATGTTGAAAACTCAGGAACTGACATATGGGTTTTATTAAGGATTAAATATAAATTATTAATTCCTCTCAGAAACAAATATGTATTCAGAGCCATATTATAAATATTAACAATGCCAGAAAACAGCATGTGAATTCTGGTGGTCTCCTAACGGCCTTTGAGCTTCACATCCTGAGAACCAAGAGACTTAATTCAGATTTGTCCTGTGTTATGACACAGCCTCCCTTTCAAAACTTTACAGTTGTCTGAAAAACTACAAGACACGGAGAATGAAGCCATGTCCAAGATTGTGGAACTGGAAAAGCAGCTCATGCAGAGGAACAAGGAGCTGGATGTTGTTCGAGTAAGTGTCATGGTGACAACTGCCCCCCAGTGGTCATGGCAGGGAGCTCATGGAATGCATTGAACTCAAGAGGAATGTATTAATGCAGCGTATTTATTAGAATAGTCACAGAGGTGATAGCCAAATGAAGTGTACACTTAAGTCAGGGTGTGTGCAGTCAAATTCTGGGACTCATTCTTGATGTGTCTTACAGAGTTTGGGAGCAAAAATATTGTCGATTCTGTGACTTACCCATTTGGTTGGAAACACAAACCCAACATACCACTCATTTATTTTTTTATTAGGATTTGAGATCCTTTGTATTTCTTTGGTTTGCTTCTATTTGGAAACACATTTGATGGTTGCTGTGAAAATGATGACATGGTCACACAGGCTAGAGCTAAAGGCATTCACTCAAAAAGCAAAGTAAAACCAGTCGTTTATTATCAGCGAGTCTCTAACATTTTATTTGGCCTGACACTAGTTTCATCTTAGGTGTCAGGTCTTTATGGAGTGTCATCCATGAGTTTGGGATTGTACAGAACATAAAATCACAAAATTACCTGGAGGGTGTTCGAGCGAGTGGCTTACCTTTATGCAGCTACTAATGAAATGGCACATTTTATGGGATGGTTATTGGGGCTGTGTGCGTTGCTTGGTACTCTGGCAGGTCCTACACTTAACTCCAGGAAATTTATTTTCTGAAACATCATTGAAACAAAGTTGTAGCATATGGACTCAATTCAAGTTCAGTCTCTCCGATTATTAATAATAGACAGGGTGTGAAGAATATTTCCCTGCCTCCTGGAGGCTTGTGGTGAGAGATCCCATGTACAAGGTCCAGCGAGTAAATTCAGTTCTAAAAAATTCTTTTGCTGGAACTTCTGTGGGCCCCCTTATAAAGGAAACCAGGATGGGATTTGAATGGAATATTGTAACTTCTTGTTTTCTGCTAAAAGCCTACGTAGAAATAGTGGAGGGACATTTCGACCCATTTTGTTAAGAACATTACCAAAGGGAAAATGTTAAAACAGTCCCCGCCCTGAATCTTGGTCAAGGGGCGTTGCGAGGGCCAGAGTTATCTGTTCAACAACAGTTTACCCCTGGTCACTCCAAATATATTATTCCATGCTTTCTGCAAAACATTTTAAATCCCAGTCTGACTTCTATCCAAGTATGATTTAGGTCCTTTTGTTTGTTGTTAGCAGATATCTATCCAGGACTTACAAAGGGATTTCATAATATGTCAAAGCAAAGCATGCTGTACCACTGAAATATTTCATTATATTCCAGAGTCAGGTATACAGTTATTTGGGGAATGTCTCTGCCCTGCTCTGCAGAGAAAATTGAGTTAGCTGTATTTATGAAATGCAAAGAACAATCTTAACAGTAACAAAATTGCTAGGATATATTATAAACATTACCAGTGAACAATTGATGATTAATGGTACTTTATAGATTCTGGTTGAGTTCTATATAATTCATATTTACATGAGTATCCTTTTCCTGTTGTTGCTATTTGCTTTGACTCATAGTGGCCCTGTATAGGGTTTCCAAGGAGCAGCTAGTGGATTTGAACTGCCAATCTTGTGGTTAACCGTCCAGTGCTGATCTTTCAGCACCAATCCAAGACTCATATTGTTAGTTGCTGCGAAACATATTCCACCAATGTATGCAGAATACAAGGTGCTCTGGTAGC